CCCTGACCTCACAGCATAATCAGCAGGGGCAATCTTTCACAACAGATGTCTGGGCTTCAGAATCTCTCTAACAACTCAGTAGTAAAACAAGCAAACAAACAAACTCCTCCCCCTAGACAACCCCAAACCAAATCAAAAGAAAACAACCCACAAATAATCTGATTTCAAAATGGGCAAAAGACTGGAATACACATTTCTCAAAAGAAGACGTATATGGCCAAGAAGGGTATGAAGTAATGCCAAACTGCACTCATCAGGGAAGTGCAAATCAAAACCACAATGAGATATAACCTTTCCATGATTAGAATGGCTACTACCTTTAGGTGGCGCCTGTGGCTCAGTGAGTGGGGCACTGGCCCCACATACCAAAGGTGGCGGGTTTGAACCCGGCCTGGGCCAAACTGAAAAAAAAAAAATAGCCAGGCGTTGAGGGGGAGCACCTGTAGTCCCAGCTACTTAGGAGGCTAAGGCAAAGAGAATCGCCAAAGCCCAAGAGCTGGAGATTGCTGTGAGCTGTGATGCTACAGCACTCTACTGAGGGCAACAAAATGAGACTATCTCTAAAAAAAATGAATGGCTATGACCAAAAAGACAAGAAATGAAAATGGTAGTATAAATGTGGAGAAGTGGGTACTGTTGGTGGGAATGTAAACTACCGTATTATAGAAAACAGCAGGGAAGATCCTCAAAAAATTAAAAATTGAACCACTGTGTAATCCAGAAACCCTACTACTAGGTATGTAGCCAAAGGAAGTCAAATTAGTATATCAATGAGGTCATATTAACTGCAGCACTAGTCACAGTAGCCAAGCTATGGGATCAACCTAAATGTCCATCAATGGAAGAAGGATCAGGAAAATGTGGTGTAGGTACAGAATGACATACTCTTCAGCTATAAAACGAATGACATCCTGTTCTTTGCAGCAATGTGAATGAACCCCATTAAGTGCAATAACCAGGCAGAGAGAGCCACATGCCCTATGATCACACTCATTTCAGGAATCTACAGGAGTTGACCTTATGGAAGTACAGAGTAGAATGGTAGTTACCAAAGGCTGGGAGGGGTCAAGGGGAAGTGAGATGGGGAGAGATTGGTTCATGGGTACATACGACAGTTTGATAGGAGGAATAAATTTTGATGTTCTTTTTTTTTTTTTTTTGAGACAGAGCCTTAAGCTGTCCCCTGGGTAGAGTGCCCTGGCATCACAGCTCACAGCAACCTCCAACTCCTGGGCTCAAGCGAGTCTCCTGCCTCTGCCTCCCAAGTAGCTGGGACCACAGGTGCCCGCCACAATGCCTGGCTATTTTTTGGCTGCAGCCATCGTTGTTTGGTGGGCCCGGGCCGGATTCGAGCCCGCCACCTTGGGTGTATGTGGCTGGCACCCTAGCCACCTGAGCCACAGGCGCCGAGCCAGTTTTGATGTTCTCATAACACGGTGAGTGTAGTCAACAATACTATATGTATTTTTCTTCTGAGACAGAGTCTTGCTCTGTAGCCCCAGGAGAGCATAGTGGCATTTTGTATGTATATTTCACAATAACTAGAGGAGGGGATTTGTAATGTTCTCACCTCTAGAAAATGACAGGTGTTAGAGGTGATAGATATGCCTTACACCAATTTGAGCACTGCACAAAGAATACACGTACCAAAACATCACATAATTGCACATATGTGCAATTATTATGTGTCAATGAAAATAAAAAATTATACAAATATGGAAGATTTGTTAAAAGTAAAAATAATTCCAGAAAGAAGAGGCCAGAGATTTAAAGCATGTCATCTAAATGGAGATTGAAATAACTCAAGATGAAGGACTCAAAAATGACTTTGAGATGAATGTGAAAGTTTTCATATAAAAAGACAACCTCCAGGGGATCTGAAGTTGACCATGCGAGGGAAACAGTGTAGGTAACACAAGCTTCTAAGAAGCAAGAGATTTTCACTGGAAACGGAAGGGTAGTGGTGTGAAAGGAAGCAGAAGGAGGAAGGAGACTCCATGCACTGTTAGCATTCCCAGTCTGAAGTAAGTCGCAGAGAATGTGTGTTCACTTGAGATATAAGCCAGGAAGATCACTTGGGGTCAGGAGTTTGAGATCAGCCAGAGAAGGAGTGAGACCTCATCTCTACTAAACAGAAAACTTAGCCAGGAGTTGTAGTGGACAGCTGTAGACTCAGCTACTTGGGAGACTGAAGCAGGAGGAGCACTTGAACCCAGGAGTCTGAGGTTGCTGTGACCTAGGCTGACTCCAAGCCACTCTAGCCTGGTCTACAGAGTGAGACTGTGTCTCAAAATATAAATAAAAAAGAAACAATCTAAGGAATAGTGAAGTTTGGGAATTATATAGCCAGAGCTATAGAGACTACAACTTAAAGTCCTGCTAACTCTAGGAAAAACCAGTGTTTCCAGGGTCAAGAGAAACAACTCAGGTATTATGGTGATAGTAAAGGAGGTGGCTGGGGCAGTGGCTCACGCCTGTAATCCTAGCACTCTGGGAGGCCAAGGTGGGTGGATTGCTTGAGCTCACAGGTTCCAGCCTGAGCCAGAACAAGACCTCGTCTCTTAAAAAAAAAGAAGAAAAAAAAAATAGCCAGGCGTTGTACTGGGCACCTGTAATCCCAGCTACTTGAGAGGCTGATGCAAGAGAATCTCTTGAGCCCAGGAATCTGAGGTTACTGCATCCTATGACACCATGGCACTCTACCGGGGGAGACAAAGTGAGACTCTGTCTCAAACAAACAAACAAAGAGTATAGGAGGGAATAGAGGATCAGATGGGCTTATGGTTTGGATGGTGATGAAAGAAACCAGGAATGTTAAGCAGAGAGCTGGCTACCTCAGACAAAAGAAAGGGGGAGTGTGCAGTGTCCTTAATCACATCACATGCAGTTGACATCTCAGGGAGTGAGCAGGAAAGTCCATTGTAATCATGAGGCCCAAAGGAATGGGCACTCATCCTGCCAGCTTTGGCCCTATGTTCTACTCCCAGTTAAGAGTAAGGCATGAAAGCATGAGATCTCAGGGACCAAAATGAAGTCAGTTAGCAAAAGTCAAGTCCTGCTGAGATGGAGCCCTGACAAGATCCTGTCCAGAGGCATATGGAGGCAGGGATGCTGCTCTTCAACCTAATGGCCATTTGGTGCTCCTTCCTGCCTCCACCTTGTAACCCCATGGAGGGGTTCTGTAACACCCTCCATGGGCAAGAAAAGATTTATTTTAAAATAATTGTTTTGTAGTTCTTGGATGTTTCAAGCTCTCAGGCAAGTAACATTTCTTGACCAGAACTTTGTCACTTTCTATTGCTTGATACACTCCCTTTTGAATTTCTTTACCAGGAAGGTGGAAACCTCCTGGCAGCCATGAGATAACTATCCAGGCTTACACCACCTGCTTGTCCAGAAAAAACAACATAAGGGATGTGTTGGCTCCACACCTATAGCTAAGTGGCTAGGGCACCAGCCACATACACTGAAGATGGTGGGTTCGAACCCAGCCGGGGCCTGCCAAATAACAATGACAATTACAACAAAAAAATAGCCGGGTGTTGTGGTGGATGTCTGCAGTCCCAGCTACTTGGGAGGCTGAGGCAAGAGAATCTCTTAAGCCCAAGAGTTTGAAGTTGCTGTGAGCTGTGATGCTACAGTACTCTACAGAGGGTGACATAGTGAGACTTTGTCTCAAAAAAAAAAAAAAAAGATAA